TATATATTCATATTTAGATTTATATATTTATCGCATTCTGTTGTGTTTTTATTTCTGTTTGTTTTCTTTGTCTTAATGCAGGTATGATACTGTAATATGCTTATGGCATTCCCTTTGTCAGTCATGAAGTCTTTGTACGATGGGCTGTGCAGAGACATGTCTATTTTGTCTTCTCTATCAAACGAAGCGTTCATCTCATAAAACATTTTCTGCAACAAACTCCAGTTACGCCATACTCAAATGCTCGCCAAAATACACACTGCAGAACACGCCCGCGTCTGGTCAGCAAAATGCCACAGATGATATTTTTGGGGCACTCATAAGCGACAGTGGCGCCTCGAGTGGTGTTCAAAACACACCTCTCGTGCAGTCCGAGGACTTCAGTCCAATCTCTGGTGGTGGAGTTGGCGTCACATCGACAGGTAAACTAACGGGAAAGCCATGAGACTTGTCTGTGTGTCCTTTCCATCTTCAAGGCTTGTGTGTTTGTTTATTGGCCTTCTGATTCGCTGTAGTCGGAAAACGTAGCGGTGACGCCCATATCTGTTATGGACATGTGGAGATCGACGGATGCTGCAATGACTTTCAAGTACGTATTTTCAATACTTGGACCTTGCCTTTCTAGTTTTGATGAGTGTGTATACGTTTGTGCGATTACATCGATATGACTTGGGGCGTGTGGTTGAGATCTCGCATTGACCAGTCTGGCATTCGAAAGTGTATTCGCGCGAATGTTCTGCGAGTTCACGTTTGCTATTCAAAGGGCCTGGGAAATACATACCCGACTGTACACAGTACCTGTTGCACGTTTAGCAATCTCTCACCCGGGGTGGCTTCCATTTGGATCTATCGACGAACATTCTTGCCTTGGTAAAGCAATTGGACGGTTTCTTTGGCAGGCGGACTTTTTCACTATGCACCCACCGAGGCTCCACACCATCATAACCGAATGCCACAGATACAGCACATGCGAACAACTCCCTGCATTAGACACGGCAACTACAATAGCAACCAGAGCCTCTGATATGTCTAGTTGTCCTGAATGAGGAGTTCACCAGAACCCTTAACCCTAAAACTTAGCAAGGCATGGCGGTGGAGATCAACGTGAGCACCACCAAACCTTTTGCTGTCGGAGATATTTACAAATCATTGCCTAAGCGATTACGTTCGACATATCCAAAGCCCAGGTTGAATTCCGCATGCCTCTACCACGACTTTATGGTATACCTTTACCTTACCAAACCAACGCTTTCAACTTCCGCAATTATACAGGGCAAGACGAAGACCTCTTTGCCGACTTTGAGGACTTCAGTACGGATCCGAATCCCACAGAATCGGGCAACGGAGGTACAGATTTCTGCGATTTCGGCGATCTCGGAGATTTCGGGACAGAAAGTGGTGCGACTCAAGAAGCCGACGCGTATGACTTTGGCAGCGATGCATTTGGGGGAACAGACACTGCGATAGACGACGTTGCAGCAGAGCCAGCGCTACGGACGACGTCAGATACAGACGCGTATGGACAGTTCGGTACGTCGGATTCGTTAGGCGCAGACCCTATGGTAAAGGTTACGGACTCTGATACAAGTCAAAGTAAAGCGGGCGGAGGTAGTCTGGGGATGAGCGATTTGCTGGGCCTGAATTTCAGCTCGCCCGTGACATCGCCTTTCGATAGGTCCCCCAATACCACACCGCAACCTACACCGCTACCTACACCTTTAGAGGCCGCCGTACCGGCGAGTGCATCCGGTAGCACTGCCAATGCCGATGACACCCAGACCACAGCTGGTCTTGATAGCCATCACACGCACGACGCTAGCGACACCAGGCCTGACAATTGGCCTATGAGTGCATGGCCTGATCCATCAGCCTCGTCCAACCCCACCGCCAGTGCACAAACGGATTGTTTCGGAGACTACGACGGGTTCGGAGAGTCCGCTGCGAAACGCTCGGAAGACGTTACAGCGCCTGCTGAAAGCAAGGTGCAGCCGGACGATCTCGATGATTTCGGCGGGTTTGGTGGTTATGAGGTGAAGCTTTCGGACGACGCGTCGGAGAAGACGCCGCAGGCAACGCACGCCGATGGGTTCGGTGATTTCGGAGGCTTCGATGAAACTGTTGTACATACGGCTAAGGATTTTCCAGCACCGGCTACCGAAGCAATGGCAGAAGCCGATGGCGTGGATGGGTTTGGCGAGTTTAACGAGACCAGTCTACAGACTACTATGGATACTCCGGAAAGGGCGGTACAAGAGGTGCATGATGATGGCTTTGGTGACTATGGCGGGTTTGGTGGTACTGGCGAAATGCCGTCTGAGGTTGCACCATCTGAACCTACACAACAACAGCCAGACGACGGCACCGACGGCTTGGGGCATAGTGATCTACAAGCGCCCGAGAATCGACCCAACGAATCGGAACAAGCAGAGCAAGCCGATGGATTTGGTGATTTTGGCGGGGTTGACGAAACTCTGACAAAGACGTCGGAGGGCGTTTCCAAAGGGCTTACAAACAACGAGCAAGACAATGAGCTCGGTACTTTTGGCGCGCCCGGTGAATCCAATGTAATGCGTTCGGAGGGAGGTGCAGACACTGCGATGGAAAGCGCTCGAGACGAATGTTTCGGCGACTTTGATGCGCTGAACAACACTGCCGAGAAGTCATTAGAGCCTGCTGCCGCTCATGCTGCACAGGACAATGAGGTTAGCCATAGCGAAGTGGACTCACCAATTACTGCACAACAAGTGCAAGATGACGGATTCGCTTATTTTGGCGTGGTTGAAGGTCACGAAGCAACGCCTTCGGAAGATGCCTCAGATGGAGCTACACCAGAAATGCAAAACACCCAATTCGGTACCTGTGGCGGTGTTGGCACTAGCGAAGTAAGGTCTTCTGAGGATACGACAGTGAAGGGACCACCAGGCGAGCCAGACGGTGAGTTTGGTAGCCTGGGTGGGTTTGGCGAAGCCTACCTCAAACCGGCGGAAAAGGCTCCAGTGCAGACTACACCACAAATGCAGGACGATAGATTCGGTGATTTTGGTGCGTTTGGCGGTACAGATAGACCTTCGGACGACGCGCTGCACAATATAACACGAGACGAGCAATCGGACGGGTTTGGTGATTTTGGCGGGGTGGGTGATGTCAGTGCGAGACCTGGGGAGACTTCTTTAGGTGACACGCGGCAAGGCACGCCAGAGGTTTCTTCAGAGAAGGCTCAACACGCCAAAGGCGGCTTCGGTGGTTTTGATAGGCTTGATAAGACCGAACCAGCGGTCAGCGCCGAGGACAGCCACGGTGGTGTAGGTGTGAGTGAAGGAGTTAGAGAGAGTTTCGGTGGTGGTAACGAGAGTTCGGATGCTGTTGGCCTGAAACGCAGCACGGAGGATGGCGAACAGCAGATAAATTTACCGGAGCAGCACACACCTGGCGAGAATTTCGGTGATTTTGCCGAACTCGGTGACAGTGGACACATGGACACGAAGGATGATTTTGGTGATTTTGCTGACGAACCGACAGAAGTGGCAAAGCAAGCGCTCGTGGAGACAGCCGACAACTTCTCTGAAGTTATTGCGGGTGTAGCACGCCAAGCCATGGCTGCAGACACTTCAGAATCCGAAC